TCTCTCTGGGTTGTAGGGGTGGACTGGTCCGAAGTGGAAGTGGGACAGTGAGAGAGAGAGAGAGAGAGAGAGAAGTCTACTGCTGCAGAGTGGCATCGTGGTAAGGAGGCAAATCGAGAGGGGGGGGTGGCTTGCATTGCGGTTTGGAGGTCGCTGGTGGCTTCCCGAGGAAGATCTAGTTGCTCGCCGGACTCCGTAGGGCGTCATCGGAGGTGGATCCCTAGCTCGTAAGGAGATAGGTTCGTATGTGGCGGTCGGACTTCGTCATTTCTGTCGCTCCCATCGTTCTCTCTCTCTCTCTCTTTGTCTAGTGCATTGTTCTCTTCTTTTTCATCATCCTTTGTTCTTTCTTGGACAATCATCGCTGTGGCATTTGAGGGGGGGGATGGGATCTTGCCCGGATCTGGTGTCCAGTACGACAAATTTGAATGAAGCAGCTGGTTTTTTTGTTGGTGTTCGTTCCTGAGTGTTCCTGGAGCCATGTTTCTCACGGGTTTTCACGTTTGCTCTTTGCACTAATCAGAGTAGCACAGTAGGCAACATTACGCATGAGTCGAGTATCTTCCTACAACGTGATCTTGTTTTTGGACTTGTCCCCTCAACATTATCTGAAAAGGTTTAGGTTTATTTTTCACTGGATCTTGTTCTCCGAACATGCTAGATTTCGAATTTCGCCAACCGAGGCCTTCCTCAAAACACCTGTATAATTATGCGTTCTCATTCCTATTACCGTTTTCACTTTCTGCTCTACAATGCAGCACTCCATGTCTAATTTCAGATGGGAGATAAATGCTCCTGGACTCTGACAGATGAGAAAAATTGAAGGAAAGAACTGAAGTTTTCTTTTCGATACTGGAGGGAGTAATGTCGCGAATTCCCAAGTGGAAGTTTGAGAAGAATAAGGTCAAAGTGGTTTTTCGGCTGCAATTCCATGCCACTCACGTAAGCTCTTTCCTTTGTAGTCTTTTTCCCTAGTTTTTGTCTTTTATTTTTCACCCTCTTTCTTATCTCTGTTGTAAAGTTTGTGGCTTCATGAATCTTCTTCAGTGCATTATGTGCCAGAAATTCAGGAAGTGTCCTCTGCTCACGAACTCGATTTCTTTCTTGCAATGTGTAATGCCTTTGCTTTTTTGAAATCTTAGTCAGCAAATTGCAGCTCATATAATTTTTGGTCTCCATTGTAAACGGGAAGACATTAAGTAATGCAGAGGTTCGAGAGAATTCGCCAGGGAATTTCAAATATCTAATCTTTTAGAAATGTTTACGTTTTTGGTGACTTGTTGTGTTGGTGAAATTTTACCCCCTGTGTTCGTTTGAGCTTGTGAAAACAACCGGGGGATGTTTTATACGGATTAGTGAATTTGTGTTGCTTTATTTTTTAATTGATTTTCTTGTCACCTCGGAAAAATAAGATAAGTGGCGATCTTAGTTTATAATTAATGATGCAATTTCTTTTTGAGTAATTACTTGTATGGAATGCCATGCTGACTACTGAGGTATCTTTGTACATCGAGTGCTCCAAACTTTTGCCAATTCTGGTATCTGTTTATGTTCTTGTCCTTTAGTACTTCCATTGGTGACTCAATATGCAATAAGGTTACTGGGTTGAGTATTTCTGTCACAATTGTGGATCTTGCACTCTTAGAATATGCCGTGGTACCTTGCTGGTCAGCTCCAGCATTGCATGTGAATAACTGGTTTTGAAACTAATCACAACTGGTCCATGAATTTCTTAAATTTTTTCTAAATGCTCTGTAAACATTCATTTTCCTTGCAGATTCCACAAACAGGATGGGATAAATTGTTCGTGTCTTTCATCCCTGATGAGATAGGAAAAATATCTGCAAAGACGAACAAGGCGAATGTGAGGAATGGGACTTGCAAGTGGGCAGACCCAATTTATGAAACTACAAGACTTCTTCTCCAGGACACAAGTGCAAAGAAATATGATGAGAAATTCTATAAGCTTGTGGTTGCAATGGTATTGATGTCTGTTTCAAAGTTCTAAATATCCCTATTCACCCTTATTTTTCAGTATCATATTCTCAACTTCTCCACGGCATTAGTTTCTTATTTTACAGCCAATTTTTTTTTCTCAATAGAAGTTGACTGTAATCTGGGTACAATTCCAACAATTCAGGGTACTTCTCGTTCAAGTTTCCTCGGCGAGGCTTATATCAATCTGGCTGATTACGCAGATGCTTTGAAGCCTACCTCTGTCGTGTTACCCCTTCAGGGATGTGATTTTGGGACAATTTTACATGTGAGATTCCGCTGACTACAATTTTGCGCCTTATGTCTGCTTTCACAATAATCAATGAGAAACTGTTGTCACTTTGCTCCTTAAATGATTTGCGTGTCTTAGTCACAGTTTATGTTGGAAACCTCCCTATTTCCTTTTCTTTTTTCAAATAAAGTATGCTAACCATCTTGAATTATTAATTAGAAATTCAAAGTTTCATGTTTATAATGTTTTCATGCCTTTTTCTGCGAACGTGTAGGTCTCAATTCAGCTTCTGACCTCCAAGACAGGGTTCAGGTGCTATTTTGATACCTCAACTTTCTGTGTTCCCAATATCTCTCAAATTTCTCACGTATAATACTTCATGGCAGAGAATTTGAACAGCAACGGGAAACCAGGGAGAAGGGTTTTCATCTAATCTCAAACCCAAGCCAAGAGCATGTGAGAAAATTAGGAGATTCTGCCGAGAGAACCATGGACAAGGTGGACAATGTTTGGGCATGCTATTTTCACTGTCCTAATGTTATTCCATTGTCCACTTTTGATGAGTTTTGTTCATCTGCTCGTATTTGGTAATAAATTTTAAAATAAATCATGCTACCCTAGTAAATTTGTAATATTTTTGACAATATTTTCTGGCATCACAGTCCTGAGTAGAAGGTTGAGGAAGCGTGGTTTCATATTTTTTTGCTTAATACTGTATTTTCTGGTGTGCTAGTTTAGTTCCCTACCTTTATCCTGAATTTTTTTGTTATGTTCATTTCTATCACATTTTAGTCTGAGAAATTTGTCTATATTGTTGTGGGTTTGTAGTCAAATTGTCTGGAACCTGACATTATTGCTTAGCTGTTAGAATTGTGCTCTTTCGAATTCATTTATTGAAATTAGCATGTATCGCTCGTTTGTTTGGTGGATACATGTTTCTCGAAAACCAGAGTTCAATTGTGCCGTCATCATTCAGTTAGAAGTGTCATCTCACATCCCTTTCATCTTCTTGCCAATGATAACCCCTTAGGCACATAGGAGGGTTCAATTTATCGGCCCTGGCAATGACAGTACAATAGAGGATACACGACAAAGAAGTGAGTTGGTCATCAAAAAAGTTTGAGCAGAATCATAATAACTAACTAGATTATTATGAACATACGATTAAATTACCATAAAATAAGAGACTGACTGGTATAAATTTCCGAGGTAATTTTTATTTGTACATCTGTTTAAGTTTATCATATAAAGATTCATCGTCATGTCCTTTTTATATAAAAAGTTACATGACCTGGACCTAGGCCAAGGTCGCCTCTTTTAGTTTATCGCTGATACTTTGGGAGATTCAGTTCGGACAACAAAATGAAAGACTGAATGACATCTAGATGAACTAAAATAAATGTCCCATGAGTTTTTCTTTCTAAAGTCTGGGTACAACTTAGCTAGATAGCAAACCCACGCTATTTGCTTGCCCTCACAATGTTGCGAACACAACTTTTTTTGCAGAAAATGATTTGCTCCATTTTTTTCATTTCATATATGCATCGTTCTTACTTTTTCCATGTCATTCATGCTTCATTGTCATCCTTACCTTCAATATTATCGCATCAACCAGAACGAGTAAATTTTTTTCTTTATTTTCTTGTTGAAGCTAGGCAAATGCAAGAGTGAGATTTAGGCAAGTATCTAAAGAGCTTTATTCACTGGAAGAGATGGATGAACCAGATGAAGATTTTGAGGAATCTGCTGCAGGAGTTGATGGTTCATCATGCACTTCAGATAGTATGTATGCTGAAAAGGTTGATATTTCTAGTACGCATGGAAGCAGTACGAAGATTACTAATGACGGTGGTCAGATCAATCAAACTGAGAGTAGGCATGAATCACCGCACCATCTTCTGGTACAGAGTACCAATGAACGGGCCCATGGATGGAGTTCAGACTTTTCTGTGGATAACAGTTTATCTTCCCTTTATGATGAGAATATTAAAATGAGAGAGTGTCTGGAGGTGGCAGAATCATCTATTTTGGTCATGTCGACGGAAATCAATTCATTACAGTGCCTTGCAGGGGAACTAGGTGCTGACACTCAAAGATTAACCCATCAATTTACCGCGGAGCTAGCTTCAGGAGAAGCACTGCTTGAAGAAGTGTCTGTATTGAAATCCGAGTGTTCAAAACTCAAAGATGAATTCGAAGTACTCAGGCATTACAAGAGAATGCTGCATTTAAATGGACGAAGGGTTGAAAATCTGCATAATCCAGTTGTCTTTAGTGGAATCTCTCCTGACAATTTTCACAGCATAAAAGAATGGGCTGACAAACCTTGTTATCTTGAGAAAAGGAGATGTGATTCTTCCGATGCTTCTTTCGATGGCACTGAAAACCAGCGTCACTTTTCCCCTGAATGCCAGTCACAGTGCTTGGAGGTGGTGACACTTCTGGAGAAAAAGCTCAAAATTCTTCGCAGCAAGATGCAAGTCAGGTATCATGAAAATGATGTCGACTGTCTTTCTGATTTTGACGGTGTTGATTGTGTTCTTCAGAACCTTAAGCAATGTATTATGCTTTCCTCAAGTGATATGAACCCAGTGAAGGGTAATACCAATGCAACTCAGGTAACAGGCATAAAGCATCTTATTCCATTGCAGACACTTCTAGACCAAGAACTAGATAACAGAAAAATGATGAAAGAAAGGATATGTGAACTTCTTACAGAGTTGGAAGAATCAAAAGCTGAGCAGGAAGCTCTAACAAGGAAAATGAATCAGAAGGTTCTACATTATGATGCTCTCATTCTCGAGCTGGAGCAGAGAAACAAACAAACCTTGAATGAGTTGGATAACGTCAGAGCCGAACATTCTTCTTCCCTTTCTACTGTTTCAGCCTTTCGGAGTCAGATTGAAAAAATGCGTCACGATATGAATGAGCAATTCACGAAGTTGTCCGAAGATAAGTGGTACTTGGAATCCGTTAACAAAGAACTTGAGAAAAGGGTAATGACCTCAGAGACTGTACTCAAAAGGATTCGTTGTACATACTCCACTGCGGTTGACCGGTTACAGAAGGATCTTGAGTTGCTCTCAGCTCAGGTACTATCTATGTTTGAGACGAATGAAAACCTTGCAAAGCAGGCTCTAGCAGAAGTGCCAAAGTTATATTTTGACGAGCATGTTGAGGAGCATCCAGAGTTTATGAAATCACGCCTGAGGAATGATTCGCAACCTAAATTCGATAAAATTCTTGATAAATCTAATGATTTGGATTGCCATCAAGAGCCATGTCCATTTTCCAATGCTGCTGATCTGGGCTACAAAACAGGGCAGAGTTTTGACCCTGCATCCGACTATAAAGATAGCCTGTTCACAAGGATGCCTATATATGCGGAGCAAGATATCAAGGATGCGGGTGGTGTCAATGGTACGGACTTGAGAGAAGGGAAAACTAGACCTGGTTTGATAACACATATGCTCATACAGGGAGAAAGGAATTTGGTTTCCCATACTGAGGAATGTACAGGCAAAATGGAAAATAATGAGTTCCAAGGGTATGCTCCGATTCTGAAGCATAAATGTGACTATGAAGAATCCAATGTGGTTATTCCTTCTGTCAGTAAAGACCAAGAAGCACAACTTCAAGTGAGAGGACCATACCGTCTTAACGAAAAGCTTTACTTGAACATGGAGGAAGAACTCCATGAAGTGTATACTTTGAATGTGGATCTGGAAATTCTTGTGAAAGTTCTGCAAGAAACACTACGTGAAAAGAATTATCTAGTAGGAGATATGAAGGAGAAGATGGACGAACTTTCACAGCAGCTAGATCGTTCCACCAAGTCTGAAGGATTGTTGACACTTAAGCTGCAGGATGCATTTGATGGTATTAGGGTTTTGAGGGAGGATGTGACTAAGTTCAGTGTCAAATGTGAGGATCTGACGGTAGAGAAGTATATCCTACACGAAAATTTGCAAGACGTCTACGATAAAAATTCCTCTCTCGCACAAAAGCTAGTGGAATGTGAAAGATTGATCAATGACTTAAAGATTTATGAGAGTAGGTACACGCAGTGCGCTGCAGAAAATTCTGTTCTGGAAAACTTGTTAAAAGAAGAAAGTCTGCAGAAAAGTTGCCTTGAAAGCGAGATTAAGTACATCGTGCAAGATTACAGTTCACTGAAAATAGAGCTTGATAAGAAGTCCTCCACAAGCGATGATCTTGGAAAAACTGTTGATCTTCTGGGAGAGCGGCTGAGATGCATATGTTCTAATATAGAATCGTACGGCAGTCAGGTGTATGGACCTAGTTTTGCTAGTGTATCCATAAAGCAGGAACTAGAGAACAACGACCATCTGGCTGTAGTCTCACATCTTGAGGAGCTTCAAATGGAAGCGTTTGAGAAAATTCTCAAGCTCAATGAAGAGATGAATAAAACAAAGAAAGAAAAGGATTCTCTTCACGTTTTTTTGAAAGATATGGGGTCAGAACTTCTTTTGATCAAGCAGAAATCTGAATCCGAACTGGAGGAGATCACTTTGAAGTTGGATCTATCAAACTCTCTTGTGGAAAAGCTTAGGTTAGAATTGCAAGATGTTAGAACAGAACTTCAAACCAAAGCAGAATCTGAACAAAAACTTGTCGATAGGAACAGAGACTTGACGTCAAAACTCACAATAATGGAATATAAACTTCAAGATGCAGACAATGAGACGAGGGATATTTCGAAAAAGCTACTGGAGTTTGATAGAATATATGAGGAACTTGAGAGGTCTCGAATGGATGTTGTTAATTGCAGGGGTGAAAAAGAAACTTTAGTCCTTTCACTACAGTCCATGAAAGAATCAACATTTCAACTGGAAAACGAACTTAGCAATTTAAAAGAACAACTAAAATGCGGCAGTGAGGAGCTAAAAACAGAGAGGGTCACTAAGGTGAAGCTGGAGGATACTATTACTAATCTTACTTCGCAACTGAATGAGAAGAACGAGCAAATATTGTCATTGCAAGAACAAAATGCTGAGCTGGTCCATCTCAGGTTACAATTGTCTAATTATGAATCAGAGAAGTCTGGATTACAGAATCTTTTGTTGCATCATGAGGAGCGCCGAGGAAATCTGGACGATGAAATGTTTTCCCTTCATGATAGAGTCGCTGATCTTTTCAGAGAACTTAGCAGCCTAAAGGAAGCCTTGAGATCTAAAAATGACGAACTGCTTGCTGAAAGACTTTTTAGAGGGGAAATGGAGGGTAAAATAGCACATCTTACGTCTCAACTGAACGCAAAACGTGAGCAGGTATTATCCTTGAATGAACAGAATTCTGAATTGGCTCACCTCAGACAACAGGTTATTAATCTAGAATCTGACAAGTCTGCTGTCGAACAACAACTTTTATTGTGCAATGACAAGTGCAGTAAAGAACTAGATGCCCAGTTATCCATCCTCCACTCCCAGGTTATGAATCTAGATACTGAACTATGCAAAACAAGGGAAAGATTGGGATGCGCATGTGATGAATTATATTCAGAAAGGGAGATTAGAGGGAATCTGGAGGCAACAATTTCCGATTTGACATCTCTTTTGAATGAAAAGCAGGAGCAACTGTTGCATTTTGGTGATCAAAAAGTTGAATTGGCCAATCTCAGACAACAATTATTGAATCTAGAATCAGAGAAATTTGTTGTCGACGAATTCCTGTTGAGCAGCAAGGAAAGAATAGGTGAACTTGATACTGAGATATCAGTTCTCTACTCCCAAGTTGCTGATCTTGATGCTAAGGTAAGAAACTCAAATAAATGTTTGAGGTTCACAGAGAACGAATTACACTCAGAAAGAGATAGTAGATTGAAACTGGAGTCAGCAGTTTCCGAGCTTACATCTCTTTTGAATGAAAAACAAGAGCAGCTTGTATCCTTTGAAGAAATAAAAGCCGAGCTGACCCTTCTTAGGCAAGCAATGTCAGACATAAAATCAGAAAATTCTGAGCTTCAGAAACTTTTGCTCCGTGGTGATGAACTCTGCTGTCAAATGCGCGGTGAAAATTCATTGCTTAATGTTCAAATTACCGACCTAGAAACTCACGTATGTGTATTGCACAAGCTCCTGCTGTCTGCCAATATCGAAGCCACTTTTATAGGAAGTCAGTACCAGACAAATATGCAGGAGCTCTTTGACAAGTTCAGAATATTAGAAGAGAGCAATAAGGAGCTTCAAAAAAATCACTTGGATGTGGTTGCGGAGCTACAGAATTGTATGGCTATAAAGGATTATTGTTATAAAGAAAATGAAAGGTTATTGGAAGACCATAAACTGTTGAAGTCTGCTTTAGAACTTTCGGAACATAGCAAATATCCATTGGATTCAATCCATGAAAGGACCGTTAAGTCAGAAAAAGTCGATGGCCTAAAAGTAGATGCACCTGAGTTGGGAATTGATGATTATGTAAAAAAGAATTATTTCCCAAAAGAGATTGAGCCATTTAAGCTGCTTCTAGATTTTGAAGAAGAGATGGAGCATCTAAGGTCTTCAAAGGATGAGCATGAAATCGCAGGGATCATCCTGATGTCAAAATTATATGAGCAACAAGAACATATTACTTTTTTGCAGGAATCTCATAGTGAATTGATTAACTTGCAGGGACAGCATAAAGAGCTTATGCACAGGCTTTCTGAGCAAATTTTGAAGACGGAAGAATTTAAGAATCTGTCTATCCGCCTGAAAGAACTGAAAGATAAGGCAGATGCAGAGACCAATCAAATTCGAGAAAAAAGAAACAGTGAAGCTCCTTCTGGTGCAGTGGTAGAGTCATTAAGAGTTGCTTTTATCAAGGATCAATGTGAAATAAAGGTGCAAGAGCTTCAGAGTCAGTTAGATATATCCAAAAAACATGGAGAAGACATATTGATGAAGCTGCAAAATGCCCTTGATGAGGTTGAGCTGCGGAAGAAGAGTGAAGCGTCTCATGTCAAGAGAAATGAGGAGCTATCAATAAAGGTTTTAGAATTGGAGTCTGAAATGCAGTTGGTGGTGGCAAACAGACGTGAATTTGTTAAGGCTTATGATGAGATTAAGGCTGAACTGGAGTGCTCCATTATTAGCACCGAGTGTTGCAAAGAAGAAAAGTTTAAGCTCGAAGCTTCACTGGGGGAGTGTAACGAGAACCTGAAAAATCTGAGAGTCGAACTTGAGCTGACCAAACGTCAACTGGATAGTTTGACAGCTACCTCAGAAAATCTAGGAAGTCACGATGCTGATATTGTTGGGTCTGTAGGACATAAGTATGGAGAAGATGCAGTAGTCTCCCAGAGAAATGGCCGGCAGGTTTCTATTAGAGGTTATGCAAATCCAGATGCTCATTTCAGAGAAAAGTCTTCGGAGGTAAGCTTCTCAGGAAACTCTTTATCTCATTTGTTCACATACATCTCTTTAATAAATCTTGCCCTTGCATCAGGCATGCCTTTAGCTCCTTAATCCTTCTGAAAAAAGGTGATGTATCCTCCCAACATGTTGTATTTCACCTTGTAAAGATACATGTTAGTTTACTCTCATAGGGATGCAGATACAAACTGATGCTAGCTCAATGGTGGCTTAAGACAGGCTATTAAAACATAAAGCACGTCCAGGGGGGGTAGTCGAGACATACGGTTTAGTTTCTATTTTGTTAGAAAGGACTCAAATCCTATCGTTCTTTTATTACCTCACTTTCCAAACCAAGGAAATTGTGAGTTCTGCTAGAATTTTGGGCTCTCCTCCAGATCTTTTGGTAAATTTTCCCTCCTTTGGAACTTCAGATTATTTTCTCAGCCTTGGTGACTCGTTATGTTGTGACATTTGGTAGAACCTAGAGTTGCGCATATTTTGAGGACAGTTGATAGAAGGTATACATCTAGAGTCAGATGCAGACCTCAAGGCATGTTTGAAAGTCGAGAAACATTTTTATTTAATTCTTCCTAGTATCTTGATGCCGGTCCCGAATGTGACGGTATAGATGATGACAAATTCGTTGGTTCTGCGAATTATGCATTGAAACTTTTCACCACGGAGGTGTCAACAAGTGGGAGAATGCTATGTTTTCTCAATTTGATGTAAATCTATTGCCACTTTTGAAGGATGCGTAGAGATCTACAAAGGGCAGCACAATATTTTTCACTACTTTTAAGTCATTTCTGTTTAGACATTCTCCAATAAATTATTTTATTTTATTTTATTTTTTCAACCCCCGTTTAGTGGGCGTGTTACCACTAGAGCCGAACAAAACACTCCGAAGTTAAGTGTGCTCAGGTGAGAACACCCCGTGTCGCATCAAGCTCACATTAGTACCAAGAAGGCCCCCATCTCGCACCACGCTCCCACTAGTATAAAGAAGGTCCAAAAAAAAAGAACTCCTTTTTTTCCCAATAATTTTTTCATATAATACCTGATAATTCATCGCTATGACCACGATCAAAGATGAAAAATTCCGATCTTGTGTTGGCACCTCACGGGACCTGTTCCAGAATTTGGATGTGCTCCCACCGCAGTTTTGCTACATTTTAGCTGTGAAATCTTGCCGAGGTATGTAACATGACAAGCTTGGAAGTTTGGGTGACATAGATTGTCTCTTGTTTAGATATACTAAGTTCATCTTAATCGGATCCAGGTCTAAATCTATGTGAGAACTTTGGAAAATCTCGTTTTATTTTACACATGTATCTGTTTTAAGTTTTCTTCCTATTTCAAGAACATGGACTAATCATCAGAACAACGTGCAAGCTCAGGAGGATAATCTGACAGCTTGACCCCAACCCTTGGTTTTTCCTTCCATCGCCGCTGAGATTTATGCTTTCCTTCCATGGATAAGAATCACAAGAGATACCATCTGATGCACATGGCTCTATTTACCTAGCCCTTTTTTTTAATTTTTTTAATTTTTTTTTTCGGGGTCATTCAATCTCATTATCTCTGATACCCAACAGGAAAAGGAATCCACAAGAGGAGGAGGCCCTCTTCTAGAAGACACAGAGTATATGGCCAGCGTAGAGGAGCAAAAGAGGGAGCAACAGGACCTCAGGGCCGGCATCGACCGCCTGCAGCAGGAGGTATCTCTGTGATCTTTGTTGGCTCATAGTGTGGGGTGCAGTGCCCTTCTTCGTGCTTACCATGAATGCGACCTCCATCTCATTATCATCCACCTCGCAGCTGGAAAGGATGAAGAATGAGAATCTTGAATCCCTTCTCCCCGCAGACGAGCAACAACCGCTGGATCCATCCATTCGCGGGTTGGAGAAGGAACTGCTACAACTCGAAAAGGTTGAAAAAATTGCTAAATTTTCCCTCAGAAAAGAAAAAAAAATCAGAACATTTGTTACTTATTTTAGTGATATCCCTTCTTCTTTGCCAGGCAAATCAACGTTTGGGGATGATATTTCCCTCGTTCCAAGAATTCCCGGGCCATGGGAACGCATTGGAACGGGTGCTCGCCTTGGAGCTTGAGCTCGCGGAGGCACTGCAAGCGAAGAAGAAGCCAGAGATCGTCTTCCAGAGGTACGGCGGCAATCCTCATGATCTCGCGCATCTATCCATATATATATATATATGGTCAAATCATTAACACTCCAGTTTTATTATTCCGGTAAGATGCAAATGCAAATCCATGAGGCTAGTTTACTTTCCAAAGATGAAGATAGATCTAGGAGCCCAGAGATTGGTTGCCACTTGTTTTATTGAGAGGCATCCACGTGGTAAGAAATGGGCTCTATTGAAAGTCAAACCCGAGTCGGATGAGGACCCACCTGGGGGGCTCTCTCCTTCTCGATCAACTGATTGTTATCCCCTCTGGAGTTGCTCGGTCAACTCATCATTATCCCCTCTGAGGTTGCTTGGTTAACTCTTTATATTCCCCCTCTGAGGTGCTCGGCCAATTGATTATGACCCCTCCTCGGCCGTCTCCCCAGCTCGTTCCTCCGGCAGCTTGGCGACGAGGCTGCGGTGCTCCAGAGCTTCAGGGACATCAACGAGCTCATCGGAGACACGCTCAACGTGAGGGGACGCCACGCCGCCATGGAATCAGAGCTCAAGGAGATGCACTGCCGCTACTCCCAGCTGAGCCTGCAATTCGCCGAGATGGAAGGCGAGCGGCAGAAGCTCCTCATGAAGCTGAAGAACATTAGGAGCCCCCGGAAAGCCCAGCCCTGATCCCTCCATCCCTGACATAATTCGCTTCTCAACAGTTTTTTTAAAAAATATATTCATGTATATATACACACATACACTGGATAAGGTTTTTATCCCAAAAGGGTAAAGGAATGCTCGAGTCAACGAGCGGAATATGCTGCGAGTCAACGCGTATGATCAATCCTGAGACGACCCAGCTGTCTGAGGATTGGATTCTGATCGGATGTGGCCCTCTACAGAAAGCCCAGGAAAACTTGCGCCTTTTTCCGACATCACAGAGTCAACTACAGAAATGGCAACAGATAGTGGCAACTACTGAGTACCCCCCCTCCTCTCTCTCTCTCTCTCTCTCTCTCTCTCAAGCTTTGGACAAAACTTTGGCGGCAAAGAATCGAGCCTCAGAACGAAGAATCCATTCTCTTTCCTTTTTTGCATTTTTTTTTTTCTTTACAGGGACACCCACATCGGATCATCCACCGAGGGACGAGCTTGAGCTTCTGATCATCAGCGGGGAGGCCGTCCAGAAGCCCGAGGAAGAAGATGAAGACGGATGTCCTCCAGGAGCTGCAGACCCATCACAGAATGGAGCATCCGCATCTGCTCTGCTTCGACTTGTCGGCGCGCTGCTTCTCTGAACCAGCCACAGAACAAGCTCAATGATCTTATTTTATTTATTCATTTTTCATGAACAGATTAGGTTCTCTTATGAACAAGAACTGATTGAGGAGACGACGTCGATGAAACAGATGAACTGGCGCCACCATTCACAGCTTGTTTTCAGATAATTCGGAAATCCAGTGTTCAGAAGAGAGGGAAAAAAAAAATCCTGTTTCAAGAAATCATACTTTCCATAATTTCAAGAAAAAACAATCATCAGACAGTCATAACCATACCCATTCTTAGTTTTATTTATTTATTATTATTATTTAAATTGAGCTCAGGGTGTGCCAGTGATCCGAAACAGGTAAGGAGAGAGACCAAAAAAACAAAAACCAGACAGAGAGATATTTCTGAATCAAGTAAAGAGGAGGAAGAAGAGGAAGGTACCGTGGGCCTTGTCGGAGGTTGGCGGCCGCACCACGACGTGCATGGTGATGACCCCGCCGGGGAGGTCGGCAACGGGGACTTGGGAGGTAGCGAGGGTCTGGTTGTTCTCTAATATCCTCCCCCCATTGATCAGCTTCACATCATTCATCGTCCTCGGAGAGATCTCTTTCCCTGGAATCAAGCCCAAAATGTGTCAGATCGATGAAGAAGAACATGCCAAATTCAGTTCAGGATGATTATTATTGTCTTCTTCTTCTTCTTCCCAATTAAAGCAACCAAAAAAAATGATTTTTGAAGCTGACGATAAGTGCACGGGTGAGTTGCTGACTGGGTATGCGTCGATTTTCATATGAAACGGTGCAGATGCTAGAGAGAGAGAGAGAGAGAGAGAGAGAAGTTAAGTTAGATCAGCTGAAGAATGAGAACAAGATTTCCAGAAATGGGAAAGAAGCTGCTTCAACAGCTTCAAGGAGGGGATCTGAAGAGTGGTCGAGAGAATCCAAGGATTAAAGGGGAAAGAAAAGCCTCAGCTCAATTAGCAGAATTTGATCCGAGCGGTCGGTGAGGATCCTACTCAATCTTGTACAAGGGAAGGACTATACCTCTCTCTTTCTCTCTCTCTCTCTCTCTCTAAATCTCAAAGACCCAACGCCTTCCAGTCTCAAACAAGCCTCTGCAAGGCCCCAAAAAATAGAGTTTGAAACATGTTCGGGTTAACCCCAAAAGAATGTGGCAAATTTATCACAAACTTAATTCAGTTAAGTTGGGGTAGATTAATGCCATGGGAGATTTCTGATGATCCGGGAATCTGAAACCTTCCCTAACCATGCAGTGCCTCATAAGCATGCATCAGTGCTCTCTCTCTCTCTCTCGCTAACTCAAATCACAAGCTGTAACAGAGAATTTCACCTGTGGCGATTTGATGAGCAGGCTTGAAAATCTTAATGAATTCGTGCAAAATCATCGGGTCAATCTTATTGATGAACAGGCTCTCTCTCTCTCTCTCTCACACACACACACACACACTCAAATCCACAAGAATCGGTGTATAACGGAAGGGATTTAGAACTTTGTTTCCCAAGACTAAAGTGCTGCCCTGTGTCGCTTTCACCATCTTCGTCAGAACGAATCGGGTTCAATCACAAATTGTAACAGAGAATTTTCGCCTGTGGAGATCTGGTGAGCAGGCACGAAGATCTTCATGAATTCTTGCAAAATCATCCGGTCAATCGACGATTGCAGGGGACCCATCATTAAAAAAAGAGAAGAAATCGCCAACAGTGGAGCAGGAATCCCTACTCCAAAGCATGAATCTTCCTGAGGAGATGATCGGCAGAACCCAAATCCGCCGAAGCAAGAAGAGGGAGGGAGGGGGGGGAGTGGGGGGCGAACAGGCAAGAATCAGAGAGAGAAAGGCCCAAGATCGATTGATTACCAGGATATCTCACCTTGGGGCCATCGAGAAACTATGGTCTCCTTGAGGGTGGCGACGGTGGTGGCCGGATCGTACTTGTCCGGGCCGATGTCGCTGCCGTCGAACAGCCGGAACTTGAGCTCGATTAGGTCTTCCCCAGCCATGAACACAAGGGCGATCTCCCTCCCAATTCAAACCGCCATCGCCAAGATTCCCGCACCGTCGGAAAATCCCGCGGCCGGCGGCGCTTCAGAAGCGCAGAAACCTCGAAGAAAACCAGCCCGATACCATGAGAAACAGGGAGAGAAGGAGAGAGGGAGAGAGATTCAGTCAGCGGAGAAGCCTTCCGATCAGAATCCGACCGCCTCTCCACCACCTCCGCCTCCCTTCCCGAAGTCAATGGGATCTCAAAGATCACGCCGAAAACCCAGATGGGGAATCTCTCTCTGGCGAAGAAATCCGGCGGCGGGAGGAGGGGGAAAGCCCGGCGACGGGGAGGAGGGAGCACGACGACGATGATCGAGCCCCCCTAAATTACCCCCTTCTGATCCTCCTCTCTCACCAAATTCTCTCCATTGGAGGAATTAATCAAAGCCAAGGTCCGGCTTCTCCATCACGCAATCAATAGCTTTCAATACGAAATTTTCTTGTATGATCCAAAGCCGTTCAAAGACGGTGGCCGGAGATCTTCTCCCCTCTCGTGTGCGACAAACCATCGCCGTCACCACCATTTAACACCGGAACTAGAAAATTCCTCAGCTCTGCATCACCCCCGTCTAAAAATTACATCTTTTAGTACCCAAATGGAAATTGTTTTCAAAACTTCGATTTTGTGGATCTTCTCAACGCATCGGGAATTATAATGCGGCTGGGAGTGCCCACTTGAGCCACGTCCAGTTCTCACAGAGTTTATGTTTTTTTATTGAAATGTTGGAGAAATTATCACTGATTCTGTTCCACTAATAAAAAGTTTGGGCCCATTCCCCTTCCAACGCACCCATCTAAGAGAGAGAGAGAGAGAGAGAGAGAGAGAGAGTTAGCCAAATTATTGAGTTAAACCTACTGAGATTAAGAGACATACACCCAAAGTCAAGAAGAATATCTGACGTGTTGTAGAGGAAAAATATATAAAAAAGGTAGAGTTAGTGGAATAATGGAGGCCATTTCGGACGTCACACATAATTCTGGATGAAGGTTTGATGGGTTCTTATTCCAGCTATGTTGTGGGCACTTGTGATCGGTAAATCTCCAAAGTTTCCCATATATAAATATAACCATATAATAATCCCATTTACTAAAAATACACACTTTAAAATTGTACCATTTTAGCAAATAAATACATTTTCTACTAAATACCATTACTAAAATTTACCCAACAATAATAAAATCTAAAATCAAACAGAGTTTGGAACACGTTTGTTAGAGGTCATCCACAAAATTTTGAATTTTTTTTATGCTCCAAATACCAAGCAGTGAAGAACCAATGATGAGGTCATCCACAAACAATTTGGTATTTATTAAACATAGCGGTAAACTCATAGATAAATGATTTTTTTTTCTCAAGGATGTTAAGCGTGTGGGAGTTCTTTTTAAGTAATCTGCATTGCTTACCTCATAGACATGACATTTATGGTAAATTTGAATGCCTTACATAGTCAATCTTGATAATATTATACCATCATAATGCACTCATCATGTGATGAGAGCCCGCGTTTCCATGCCCAAAGGTAGTCAACCGATACGGACAGGCCACCTCTTCTAAATCTTGTTTCCCCACTTGGGGAAAAAAAAAAAAAGAGTCAGATATGGTGAGGTCAAACCCCATGCACACGACAATTTCTGAGGAAGAAAAGGTCCACACGCAAGACTCTTGACTTTCCCTTCTCTCAGATCCAAGGGGAGAGAACCATTCAAATATGGGGGACCCAGCCGAAATTACGAGGTAGGTTTGACCCCCATGAAAAATATGAAGTCAACCCCCATGCAAATATGTGCAATTTTAGGCAGATACAGCGGTAATATGGGAAAAGAAGAAGAAGAAGCAGAAGAGAACCCTATAAAGGAATTTACACCCTGGAACTCGGAAAGAACCTCCACTAGCTCCTCCTTTATCTCAGCAGCTGAGAGATGGACGCCCTTAAATCCTTCATTCGAACAGTAGCTTTCAAGATGGCAGCTGGAGCAACAGGGAAGGCTTTGACGAAGCTCATCCACCCCAAAACCCCAAGATGGGACAGGCAGAGAGGCCATGATGAATAATCTTGCGGCATGTTCTGAAAGTCAACGCGTATGATCTGGCATACGAGTATGAACAACTTAGGACCTCAGTGATCCAGAAGGACAATCAAGCTTTCGAGTCCGGAGACTCTCTCTGCAGGGAAACAGGGAAAAAAAATAAAATCAGCTTGATCAGAACCCGGCTCCCGAAAAGAAGAATGAATGATGTTTATATCAGCCTGGATCTCCAACTGAGGATCATCATGCCATAGAAAGAAAGATTTTCAGGCAAAAGGCCTGTCCTGTTCTTCCCAAAAATGATATTTTGCTGCAGCTGGAGCACTGACTATCAGTATCAGGAGTGATTGTAGTAGTGGAGCCTGGACTAGCTGGATGATTTTAAGGCAGGATATGGTGGAGGGGCAGCAGATTGGGCCCACATGCACTCGAGGGTACAACATACCGCCCATGTGGACAGACAACTGCTGTCCGTTTATGAGCCCCACAGCTTCAAAAGAAGCAAAGGAAGGAAAGATGCTAGACACCTACCGCCCATCTTGCCTCATGCCAGATTCAGGGAACGAAGAGGCCACACCACTATGTTAGTGGTCCATGATATCCAATAGGAACTATAAAAATCACAAAAAGAGTTGAGAAAATTCCCTCCGCCTAGGAGAATATTCAGAGGGAAACATGTATTTGCATTCACTTTCTTGCCAGAATTATAATATCTGAAAATAGTAGCAACAAACAGTCTAAATTTGGAAACAATTGTTAACAAAAAACCATATTCTAAATATATATGTTTGATTATTATGTCTCCAAGGCTAGAGATGGGAAGGTCAGAGCAGGAGTCTTAGGTTCCGGATCGGGCTGGGTCTGATTGAGGCTGCTTCCAATGGGTGTGGACTAGGACGAAGACACACGACGCTAACCAACTAGCCGAAGAAGTAGAGGAGAGAGAAGACCAAAACTTTCCTTTCCATGCAATCAATTTGATTGTTGATAAATAAAGAAAGTCTGGCAGCATCAGATCCTTCAAGCTACTTTTTTACCAAAAAAAGGTTAGCTAACAAAGTCAGAATCTATTTTTATCAAAAAAAAAGAAAAAAAGACACCTTTTATGGAAGAAAAGGACGTAAGATCCAACACTACAGTTTATTCTTTGTATGAGATAATATTGAACAATGTAGGGTTGAAGTTGATAACAGGGAATGTGCTGTTTTTAATGGGACTTGGTGATGAGCCAGCTCATGAGGCAGAAATCAGCTCATTCTGACTTAGGTCTCAATTTCTAGGGTTCTGACGTGAGTGAACAAACCTTGATGATCTAAGATTCTCTTCAATAATCGCCCTCAAAACTACCAGCCTCTAGAAACGTATGCAAACTTCATGGAAAAACTGTGCATAAATAGTCTTTTTCAAGTACCAAGGTGCCTTTGCAAATTTTCCGTATAAGAAACCAGCCAACTTGTGACCTAGGTATTAATATATAATAGGGAATGATCAGAGAATGATTTAGATGGTCTGTATAGTATCCCGGAGGAGAGAAGGGGGGGGCAGAATGGGAACACGGCAGCAAGAAATGGGGAGTTTTGGTGCAGAGCACTCAGGATGCCCCATCAGCAATGTGGGCATTAAAAAAGAATGAAATATCCGTCTTCTGCAATAAGACCAAGAGTTGAATGTATCTGTCTACTTGTCTAGGTTAGGTTCTGGTAGTGTTCACCCAACATGTCCAATTCCATTTAACTGAAAATGATGGAATGGATCCAAAATTTATTATATTATCTTCAACTGTAGTAAAAGAAATAAAGAAGAAGACCTCAAGAAAATTATCGTTGAAATGCCCTCATTTCCTCATTCATTGCATGTATCCACTTTGAAATATTCATAGCCTCTGCAAAAGAATTATAAAAAAGAGAAATGATGAGTAGACATACTTGGATAGTAGGTATTTAGTACAAGTTTTGTTGCCCTTTTAAAAGCAATAAGAAAGTTAAGTCAATGAACAGTAGGGATAAGGGTTTCATTATAGTTGACTAACCGGAAATAGGATTTAATTCCAAACATTTTCTTTCTTGAACAGGTCAGTATCTTTTTTCATAAGATCACTCCTGATTGAGGCATATGCGTCACAAAGAGGTATATCTACAACTTCACAGATCGGCAAAAGAGTAGATGGATTAAGAAAAGAGAGGATCTTTTCTCAAAAACCCAAGATGACATTGTCTTCATAACATAAGATGCTGTCAAAATAGCTTCAACCCAGAATATATTTACAAGGTCAAAGTGAAATAATGTTGCCGAGGAATCTCCAAAAAATGTCATCCCCATTTTATTAGGGTGTACATGACGTCTCATACATGATATCTTCTTCTTCAAATAAAACATGCAGTTGTCTCATCAGAGATTATTTCACATTGTTTGATTGTTGCCTTTAAACATTTAAGCCATATTAATTTTGGATCATCTTGCAAAAAGCTTGAATAATCTGAGAAATTTCAAACTGTCTTCATCGAATAAATCAAGACGCAGAGAGCGTGGTCATCAATGACGTTCATGAAATATTTTTAGGCCTCTATTAACACAGTATCTTCGTTATCAGGCAATAGAAATCAAATTTGACTATGTTTAGAGATTTACGAAATGTAACATTTGAGAGCCTCAAAACTAGGCTAATTAAACAAAGATGAAAAAAAAATTCTGCATGATTTAAAAGGGCGATGGCAAAGACACCAGTGTCATAGATCTTTCTTCTTCATCTTTTGGTTGTTATGTCATCCTTTCAGTTAAAATTCACATAAATATTCCAAGGAAAAGGCAATAGAATCCTCCTATTTTGAGGCTACACCCAATTGTTTGGTTCAGCTATATGTCCTAGAAAATATAATTATTTTGAAAGAATGTTACAGAATTTTGTAAAGATTTTGTGAGGCAACTTACA